ATAAAAGACTTTTCAGTCACTCTACATATTATACTTCTTTATTTAAGACAAGTAAAAACATCTCTTAAAAATAAATTGAAAATAAAAAGAAGTAAATGTCACAAAAAAACTCGAAGAAGCTAATGGTGATCATTGATCATTGTTGAGTGTAGATTTTACGCTCAATACGTTTACTTCACGTGGATATTTTTCTTAGATTTAATTATATGTGTGCTTTAATTGATTGATTTTGTGTTTTATAGCTGAAAACGAGAATTATGTGTCCATGAAGGAAAAAAAATCAAAAAGAAAGGAAAAAGTTGCAAATAAGCAAATAAATCAAATTGGAAGAAGGAATCTCGCCACAGCTTTGGCAGTGTCCACCATTTCGAGCATATCTCTCTCATACGAACTCCAAATCAGTTGATTTTGGCGGCATTGGAAAGCTAATTTCAAGGGCTACAATTCTTATTTAAACAACATTCGAAAATTCGCACTCCAACATGGCGGAAATCGAAGAACAAATCCTGATGGGGGAAAGTGGCGGAAATTGATTCCTATTAAGTTTCCACTACTTCCTTATCAAGAAAAGCCTATAAAAGCAACAAGTCTCCACACCATAAGCATGAAATTTTACACCACAATACGTGAGGAACGAAGATCAATGAAGACTCAAGCATAGTTTTTCTTATTTAACTAAGTCTTTAGTTTCTAGGATTTTATTTGGAACCCTATGTGGGATTTATGAACTCTTTTCTACGATTTTATGCAAGTTTTAACTCCGGATTATTTCTTCTACTTGTTTTATTAAGTGCATGAACTTGATCACCTTATGTGCTTTTATGTTATTGTTAATCGCATGAATCGGAAGATCGGGTTAATAATTAGAACTGTGGTAGAAGAGCCTTTGTGGTATTAACGTAGGAATATAGCTAATCTCTTAGGTAGCCATTATTGAGATTTGTGATTAATGTTGTGTTCTAGAATTAATTGCATAGGAATATAGTAATTGAATCTAGAGTATTAGAATCGTAATACACGCGGAAGCGGGTTATGATTATTTTAGCATCTCAGGTTAATAATCCGGGTTAATTGCTTGCATAATTGAAGGAATTGGGGGAATAATAATCACATAGGGGGAAGAATAAAATCCTAGGCTTGTTTACTTTGATTAAATCTTCGTTTTAAATTGTTTTCTTATATAAATTAACAAACCAATGTTCATGTAAGTTTAACAAAAAAAGTGTATGGTGAAGTGGGATTCGTTCATAGTCGACATCAATTGAGTATAGATACTATATAGTCTGACTATAACTCTGGTAAAAAGAAAGGACATGGTGTTGGAGAAATAATCATTTGCCCAAAACATACATTTATGACGGAAATGATAAAATATAAAAGCAAAGGATATAGATAGTTGGTGAAGTACACATGCAACCATGTGATATTTAATCATTATTTAACATATAATGACCGGTTCATAATAATAATAATAATAATAATTATTATTATTATTATTATTATTATTATTATTATTATTATTATTATTATTATTATTATTATTATTATTATTATTATTATTATTATTATTATTATTATTATTATTATTATTATTATTATTATTATTATTATTATTATTATTATTATTATTATTATTATTATTATTATTTATAATTATTATTATTATAATAATAATAATTATTATTATTATTATTATTATTATTATTATTATTATGTGCATGCGAGGTTTTTTTTTTCCTCTAAAATTGCTAGTTTATTGATATTAATGCAAAGGATTAATTGATGGAAATTTCGGTTACAAAACGTCCTACACGTTCAAAAGAATGATGAATTATTTGTTTAAAAAATAGTTGATCATTTACCATATCATCCTTCAAATAAGCTATTGGCCAAAGGGTAATTTTGTACACCCAAAAAAAGGAAGAAACCATCGTTAATTATTCACACTTTTATAGTTGGTATAGATTAGAGATATCACAGGGGTGGTCAGTGTTAAAAGCTCTAAAATAAATATATTAGGGGTGTCAATTTTATAATTTGTGATATTTGTGATGCTCGAAATAATATCTATTTTTTTTTAAATAAAACAGTGGTTGCACTATAAAATGTGACTGTTGGAACACTCAAAATTTGTAATTACACTATGAATATGCCCTGGAGATGATTATTTGATGACGATGATGATGAAGAGCGGTGGTAGAGGAGGAGGAAGATTAGGGGTTTAAGAAATTTCTGAAATTAAATTTTGGTCCTTAGAACTAAGATTATTTATAACTAAATCAAAAAATAATTGAGTTTATGTTTATTTATAGGAGGACATTTCTGAAACTTCATTAGCAAAAATAAAGAAAAATTCGCACCAGCTGCACGTGAGAGACATAATTTGCTTCTAGGGGTATTGATACATGAGTATCTATCTACACATGGCCAGTTCTAACTATAGGCGAAAAAGGTGGTCATAGTATTTAAATGAGGGGCCTCGATTTTTAGAAAAAATTAGGGGCCCTCAAATAATGTTTTAATACTATTTATATATACTAGTCATAGTATTAAATGATACTCTCTGTGTTCCATAACAACTGTCTCCTTTTTTAAAATATTTTTGTTACATATTATCTGTCACTTTAGATTTTCAATACTAAATTAAATACATTTTTCATGTTTTAATCTTATTAATGAAACTCTAATCATTAATTTTCTCTCATAAATCATTAAATGATAAAAGTTGTTTTAGTCATTTTTATATTGTTTTTTTTGTAAAAACTACCATTGTGAAATCTCAAAAGGCTAAAAAATTCCTCATGTTAAAAATATTAGCAAGAACCCCCTTATGAAAATAAGCCAAAGTCAGAAAGGCCCCTGCGGGCTGATTGTGTGTTACACGCGCGGATTGTGCGACTCTTAGTTATATTTTTGACATGAAAAATCCCAAATGCACTCTAAAATTATGTTATAACTAAACATAAATTCATTTGGATTTAAAAATAAATAATCCAACTTTTTGGATGAAATTGCAATTTTAAAAATTTCTTTACATAGCTTCCTAGCACCACTTCATCGTCACCATCAAACCATCCTTCCAATACTGCCACCCATTCTCCGCACCACCTCATTTGATGCCGCCGCCACATCAACGACTACCGGTGCTCCAGAATTTCATCGAAATCTTCATCAAAAGCGAATTCAATTCTAAAAGCCCAACTCTCGGGTTTGAGATTTTTGGCTTTCTTCAACATAGAGAAAGAAGAGGGCCAAGATTCAATTTTCAACACGGCCGCCATAGATGTTCCGGATTTTGGTATTTTGGAACGAAGAAGATTCACCCATATCCACCATGGAATCCGCCGCCGGTTTGTGCCGCCACACCTTCCTCAAAGAAGATTGTTCGATTTTTGTTAGTTTTTTGGGAAGATCTGAAGGTGGGGACGGAGAAGAGGATGTTAGTGGAGGGGGAGGGGGGTACATGACAAAAAGAAGGATATGGAGAAAAAAATAAAACAAAAATAAAATTCCTGCCGGAAAAGATGACCGGAGACAAGAATCCAACCCGGAAAATGAAACGACGGCGGTTTTGGGGTTTGGATATTTTATTTTATTTGTTTCTAATTAGGGGTAGTTTAGTGATTTCACATGAGTCAACAACTAATTTTAAAATAAGGGGCAGTGTGCTTTGTAAAAAATAACATAAAGGTGGTTTCTTGCTAATATTTTTAACATAGGGGTCTTTTTAACCATTCGAGATTACACAGGGAGTTATGTGCAATTAGCTTCATTTTTATATGATTTTCCTAAAATCAAGCTATATTTATTGAATTTCTTAATCTTTGTGAAAAGTGAAAAGATACACTTATTTAGGAACGAATGGAGTATTTAAAATACATAAATAGTTCAACAATTTCAATAACCATAACTATATTTCACATAGTTTAAGTATTTGTTGAAAATTTTCACTTATTATTGCATTTGATGTGAATGAAGGTCTTAGATCAATTATAATTAATTAGATATTGAGTTCTTCTATCAAATTTTTATCTATTTCAAGATTTTAAACTTTGTTTTTCTGCAATCTTTGCATTTTTTTAATATTCTACGTTGTCTAACTCTAATTTCAAAGAGTTTCGACAAACTGAAATATACCATATTTAAAGAAAAAAAAAATTACATATATTTACTTATTCAATGATATTTCTATGATTTTTTTCAAAAAAACTTCAGGGCTCTGCCCTGAACCGCGGAATTTCACTTTACCTTAACTTCATCAATATTTTAGTCATATTTTCCCTAAAAATCTTAACTGCTAATCAAAATTTTCTTGTCCAGTCGTGCTCCTTAATAAATTAAGATGTACATTATACAATATAAAACAGGGGTCTATTTTTACAAATTTTTAAAACTCGCCTAGGGCCCTCAATTTCCGAACAACCATGTACCCACACATCCAATGCACCTCAAGGTTAGTGACACAATTAATGATGTTGCAGAAGATGAAGAGCTTGCTGAACCCTTTTTCTCAGTCAACTTTATATTTTAATTTTGTATCGACTCCAACGAAATTAGGAAACACATATTATACTGTTAAAAAACCTTGCATGTCTAGTTTCCAAGCCTTCAAATGACGCATCATTTACAGTTTTGTAGAAGAAATTATGACAAATTCCGTGCAAGGTGACCAAGCCGACTACAAGGAAGACCAAGTTCGGATTTTTACTTATATTTTTCGAATTCTTATTCAGTACATCATTAACCAAAATCACCAAAACTAGCAAAAGATAAATTCCAGTAACCCATCAACCAAATTCACCAAAACTAGCAAAATACAAGTTTCAATACTCAATTCACCAAATTCAACTCCTGAATTACATATAAACCAAAAGAAAGACAAAACAATAGTTTTAGATTCTTGAGGTGGTCCAAAAGGGGAGAGAGAGAGAGAGAGGTACAGAATAGATATAGATATAGATGGCTTTGATATTTCTTATACTCTTCAACTATATTACATATTATGAGCCAATGGGACCATATTTTTTTGTAACGACTTGTAAATTATTTCTTGTCAAGTTGTGATCTCCTGATTGTTTCATCTTCTTTTTAAACCGCTCTAATAGGTACTCCGAAAAGAACTCAACTCGAACTTGAAGTATCTCATTGCCAGCATCTTCTTGTTCCTCCGCTATTTTGATAGCCGACATAATCATAGACTCATTGCAAGATTTCAATTCAAGAAGTCGAAGCGTTGGTATTTCTCCAATATCTAAAGGGATTCCTTCCAATTCTTCCATATGTAGAAGAACAAGTTTCTCCAAAACTGGAAAATGGGAGCTCTCTACATTCCATGAAACCAGACCACTCCAAAGTAATAAGAGGAATTTCAGGCGAAGGAATTCCCCCTCGACAGGATTCCATTCGGGTTCCTTGATCGAACTATCTAATAATTTTAGAACTTCAAGACAAGGTAACGAACCAATGACTGTTAAATCTTGATAACGAACCATGAAACCTTCTAATCTCAACTTCTTGAGCGAACTTGGGAATGTAAGCTTTCTCAACCTCTCATCCTTACAGTATGATACGCATGAAAGTGATTCAAGTTTGTGCAACTGGCTAACATTGTACAGCTGGTAGTCATTATTTGACATTTTCCCGTCAATGCCATACTCTAGTTTCAATTTCCTGACGTTGACGACTCTCTTACAAGCCTCCTCGCTCCACACGAAGTTTTTTACATTCTTTAGTGTCTGCAGATTTTGCAAAACAAAATCATCCTGTTGTTGGTCACCACTCCGAGGAGGAGGATCATGAAGATGTAGCTCCCATATATCCACATGCCTCAGTTGTCGCATCTCCCATATTTCAGATGGTGCGTTAACTCTCCCTCTGATAATTAGTGTTTGCAAATTCCATACAATGTCTATTGATGAAGGAAGCATGACACCAAGAGAGGGTATCTTGAAACTGGTAGCAAGATACCGCATGTTCACTTGATCAACAATATGTCTGTGTAAATATTTTTTCTTGGCCCCATTGTTGAAGGACATTACTCTGAGCAATCTATTTTTGGAAAATCGACCATCTATGCTTGTTACCCATGTACGGGTAAGTGGTGCCAATCGCAAAGTATAAAAGACACGAAACGGATACTTCGATTGAAGTTTTTTATCACATACAATACGATGTACCCTTTCTGTTCCTCGTGGAATGCCTTCGATCACACAGATAAACTCTTCTTTATGAGCTACCTTTACACATAAGTCTCTCAGAAGATCATGGATCATGCAATTTTTCACATTTCCATTCGATCCCATTGTATGTTTTAAAATGAGATTTCTATCAATGAGATCATTTACGTAACCTCGTGCAATCTCTTCCAAGCTTTGTGATTCATTTGATTTTATAAATCCTTCAGCCACCCAAAGTTTGGTCAATCGCGAGACAAGAATCTTATGGTCTTCCGGGAAAATTCCCATGTAGAGAAAACATGGTTTAAGATGAGCAGGCAAGTATGTGTAACTCAAAGATAATATACTCAAGCAATTCTCGTCCTCTCGAGAGTTGAGAAATGAGGTTAAATCTTTTGAAATGGTTTTCCAATATTTTTGCGTCATATGAGACGTTCCAAGAAGTCCACCAATCACACTAATCGAAAGAGGAAGTCCTTTGCATTTTTGAACAATCTCCTTTCCAACGTCCTCTAGTTCAAGAGGGCAACCGGCCTCACCAAATGTTTTTTTGCAAAATAGCTCCCAACTTTTATCCTCATCTAGAAAACTCAACTCAAACAATGAGGAGTCGAAGTGAGTAGCCACATTCGATATCCTTGTAGTCGCAACAATTCGACTTCCATTATTGTTTTCCGGAAAGAAAAGATTTAAACTATCCCAAGCTTCAATGCCCCAAATATCATCAATTACAATCAAATATCTCCGACCCCATAGTATTTTGTGCAACTTTTGTCCTAACAATTGCTCATCGTCTTCACTATTGATTTCACTACTTATCATTGAAAGAAGTTGCAAGAGAAGTTGTTTGACATTATACTTTTGAGATATAGTAACCCAAGTGCGAATATCAAAATGGTGCACAATAAGTGAATGCTCGTAAGAATTTTTGGCGAGAGTAGTCTTACCAATGCCGCCCATGCCAACGATTGGAATGATTTGCCGGTTAGACCTTTGCCCCGTGAGCTTGTCCAAAAGTTGAAGCAACTGTTCGTCAAATCCGACCATAGTATTCTTGCCGGTGGTAATAAAAGGTGTACTCGATGAAGTAGTAGATGTGGGTTGCATATCAAGTTCGTTGGATCCAATTTCATCTCTGAACTCCATAACCTTTTTCTTGATAGAATCCATGTCTTCTATTACCATCTGGAGATCAAGCATGGCAATTTCATTTTTTATAGCCTTCTTTGAGCGCACAATCTTAGCAACCTTTTTTCTAATATCTGTTACTACTTTCTGGAGACGATGGCCTGCGGGTTGAATTTGGTCGACGACATGAGATTCGATTACGTCTTCAGCCGCGTACGCTGCAGATGCAATTTGGCTCTCCATAACTTGTGCCTGCTCGCTTATAACTCCATGAGTATCGGTTTCTATGAAATCTAACAAGAAACCGACCTTTTCGCCGAGAGATACGAGCTGATTCTTGTCGAAGGAAATCGAAAAGCGAGGTTGATTTTGAATCTGGTGAATGATGGTCAAAACAGAAAAGCGAGGATGATTTATAGCCTTCTTAGATCTAGAGTGGCAGCTTATGCAGCTTATGCAGCTTATAAGCTGCAGCTTATGCAGCTTATGCAGCTTATGCAGCTCTAGTTGGAAAAATAATACCACTCTTTTCAAATGACTTAATCCCACTTTGCACCCCTGAAATGTGGCATTTTAGCACATTGCACCCTTTAAAAAAATTAATAGCACTTTGCATTTTCGAAACATAATAAATTATTCACAATGCATATTTAAAACTTAATGAGGAAAATTTCATTTTTATTGATTTTTTTTTTTCAAAGTGCAAAATAACAAATTAAATTATTATTTCTTCCACCCCAACATAATTTGAAGAGTACAAAATGAGAAGAAAAAATAAACAAAAACCACAACGAATTATTTTGAAAAGACTATATTTTTTTAAAGAAAAAGAGACTCACTAAATCATTCGATTGATGGAATTTTTTTTTTTTGTATGTAGTGAAAATATTTGGTAAAAATCTTTGAAATAATGTTTAGTTTTCAAATACTTGATACCTAAATAATTGAAGGATATTTTTGTGTGAAAAAAAAAAAATTAATATGTTGATAAGATGTATTCTTTTTTTCTGCACTTTGTAGTTTTGAAAGGATTGATAAATAAAAAAAATAGATTTCACATTTGGCATTGTATTTCGATATTGCAAAGTGCTATTAGTTTTTTTCCCATTGTGCAATGCGGGAAGACGCTATATTTCTATGGCGCGCGCAAAGTGCGATTAAGGCCTTTTTGAAAACACTGTTTTTCGTAGAGCTTCCTCGAAGACTCTGTTTTACGAAATCTACAAACACTTGATGCATTATAATATTTCCTGAAAAAGAGTTTGTGGGCTAGAGCTTTCGAATCTCGCGTCTCGAGGGCTCAAACTCAGTGCAAGCCTGCTGCCGCCTCTTCCGGTGGCGCCGCCTCGCCGGTCCTCCGACCACCGTACAACTCCAAAACAGAGTATTTTTTTCCTTCTTTTTTTGTTTTCTTTTTTTTGGTTTTGTTACGTCTGCCCGAATAGCATCAAATATTTAATAAAGAACAAAACGAGAATGTACTATTCATCAAAAAAATTAAGTCAAAGGAGCTGCCGTAGTTTAAAACCTAACCCATGAATTAACAAAACAAATAGCTGTCAAGTTGAAGGAAAGTTGTTCTAAATACAAATATTAAATTCTAAAAATGAAGACAATTTGTCAAAGCTGAATGTATTATATTTCCGAAAAATTACAATATTCATCCCTCAACTTTGCACCGATTTCACATTTGGTCTCCATGTTAACAAAAAACACATTAGATCCCTCATGTTTCAATAATCTAATGTTTTTGGTCATTTCCGTCAATCTACCGTTTGTCTGTCAGTTAAGGCATTGATGGACACACGCTTGATTCCATTAGTTCTAATGGAAAATTGACGGAAAGGACTGGCGGTTGAATTTTTGAAACACGATGGACCAAATGTAAAATCGGTAAAAACGTGAGGGCCGAAAATTGTATTTTTCCCATTATATTTCATAGTAGTTAACGAAAGTCTTCTAATTGTGATTTTGTCAAAACAAGTAGTCTACACATCTAATCATATTCCTCATACATTTTCCATACTTGAAACAAATACTAGAAATGGCAGCTTATGCAGCTCTAGTTTCTCTTACGAATATCATGGATCAGATTCATGATCATCCTCGTCTTCCAATTTCTCTTGACCGTATCCAGTCCGAATCTCTTCTCGAAAAAGTCGGTTTTTTGCTAGATTTCATAGAAACCGATTCACATGGTGTTGTAACCGAAGAAGCACAAGTTTTGGAGAGACAAATTGCATCTGCAGCCTATGCAGCTGAAGATGTAATTGAATCTCATATAGCCTACCAAATTCGAGCTAGTTCGATTTTCTTGCTCGACCTCGGGAAGGTTAGAGAAGACATGGATTCCATCAATAAAAAGATTACGGAGTTTAAAGATGCTCCACGTTATATTAAGAGTCTCATGGAAATGGATCAAATTTATGAGTATCCTCGTTTTTTGTTGTCTCTTGATAAGCAGCAGGCCGAATCTATCATTGAAAAGATCAATTTGATGGTAGATGATTCAGACAATGATACCGAGGGAGGTTTAAGCAAACGAGTAGAAGTTTTGGAGACACAAATTGCATCTACAGCATATGTCGCTGAAAATGTAATCGAATCTCATGTAGTTGACCAAATTCACGCTCATTTGACTTTCTTTCTCGATCTCATGACCGTAATAGAAGACATGGATTCCATCAAGAAAAAGGTTATGGAGTTTAAAGAGGAGAGTCGATCCAAAGATCTAAAGCCCACATACTCGATGCCTACTTCTACATCAAGACCTATTACCACCGCCAAGAATACTATGATCGGATTTGATAAACAGTTGATTCAACTATTGGACTGGCTCACGGGACAGCCATCTAATCGGCGAATCATTCCAGTAGTTGGCATGGGCGGTATTGGTAAGACTACCCTCGCAAAACATACTTATGAACGTTCGCTTATTACACAACATTTCGACGTTTGTGCTTGGGCTACAATATCTCAAACATACAATGTCAAAAAGATTCTTACGCAACTTCTTTCTTGGCAAAGTAAATCTGATAATAATGAAATTGATAGAGAAACGGAGGATGAAATAGGAAGAGGGTTATACCAGCAATTATGGGGTCGGAGATATTTGATTGTAGTTGATGACATATGGAGCATCGAAGCTTGGGATAATATACAACGTTTCTTGCCAGATAACAACAATGGAAGTCGAATTATTATAACTACAAGGATATCAAATTTGTGTGTTCACTTTGACTCTCCCCATCTTGAGTTGACATTTTTGGATGAAGATCAAAGTTGGAAACTTTTTTGTGAAGCGGCATTTGGTCAAGAAGGTGGCGTTCCTGAACTAGAGGATATCGGAAAGGAGATTGCTAAAAAATGCAAAGGGCTCCCCCTTTCGATTGTTGTGATTGGTGGACTCCTTCGAAGATCCAATAGAACACGAGAATATTGGAAAGGTATTGCTAAAGATTTAATCTCGATTCTAAATTCAGGAGAGGACGATGATTGCTTGAATATATTATCTTTGAGTTATACTCATTTGCCTGTCCATCTTAAACCATGTCTTCTTTACATGGGATTTTTTGTAGAAGACACGGAGACTCATGTCAACGAAGTGATCAAACTTTGGGTTGCTGAGGGATTTATAAAACTGAATGCAATCCAAAGTTTGGAAGAGACCGCACGAGGTTACTTAAATGATCTCGTTGACAGGAATCTCATTTTAAGACTTAGGTTGGGATCGAATGGAAAAATCAGAAGTTTTAAGATCCACGATCTTATGAGAGACTTATGTCTGAAGTTAGCTCAAAAAGAGAAGTTTGTCTATATGTTGAAAGACGTTCCACGAGACATAGATAGGGCGCGTCGCATTATATTTACTGAAGAAAACTTGGAAGAGGGGTATTACTCTCGAGTCCTTCCTACTTTGCAATCAGCATCACTTGCTCGTACTTTGTTCATAATCGCAGTTGGTCCATTGATGTTTAAACACAGATTGTTGAGAGTACTTAATGTGCTTGACCAATCTATGGAAGAGGAAATCGACTTACCCAAAGATATTTTTGATCAAGTTAACTTGCGGTTTCTTTCTTATGGCGGGTACCCAGGATCAATGGTGAATGATGATCTTCCTTCGTCAATATCTTTACTTTGGAGTTTGCAAACACTAAGTATTCAGGGGGGACTCTTTGCTCCGTCTCAAATTTGGAAGTTGCGACAACTTAGGCATTTGAATATTGTTTCTCTAGACCTTTCGGATCCTTCTCCGGGTGGCCAACAAGACGACTTTGTTTTGCGAAATCTACAGACACTTGTGACTGTAGTAGACTTCGCACTCACCGATGAGGTATGTAAGAGAATCCCCAACATCAGGAAACTGAGCATGTGGTTTTTTGATCGTGAGAAAAGCTCAAATGACTATTGCCTCTACAATCTTTGCTATTTACTTAAACTTGAATCGTTTACTTGCTCAACGCGTTATCTTGATAATTTGTTGCACAACATCATATTCCCGAATTCGCTCAAGAAGTTGTCTTTGGAAAATTGTGGGCTCCATTGGGATGATTTGACAATGATCGGTTCGTTGCCCTATCTTGAAGTTTTGAAATTGAAACGGGGTTCGGTTAAAGGACACGAGTGGAATCCTGTCGAGGGGGAATTCCTGCGTTTGAAATTCTTGTTAATATACAAATGTGGTATCGTTTATTGGAATGCGGATAGCTCCCATTTTCCGGTCTTGGAGAGCCTTGTTCTTGTAGGATTGGTCGATTTGGATGAGATCCCTTCAGATATTGGAGAAATAACAACGCTTGGAGTCATTAGTTTGTACGGCTGCAGTGAGTCCGCAACTCTTTCTGCATTGAATATAGCAGAGGAACAAGAGTGTAATGATAACGATGGACTTCAAGTTCGATTCGAGTTTAAGAATAAGTCGCAAGTAGAGAGCTTCCGGGAAAATATGGAACAATTAGAGGGATTCGTAGGCAACAATATTCAAGTAAAGATGAAGTTTTCCAGGAGAAGTAGGAACCAACAATGAATCACTATTTTCGTGTAACATTGTTGATGAATATGGGCCTATTTTGTACTTTCATGAGGTAATTTTTTTAATTTATTATTATTTGGCTAAATAGCACTTAAACCCCCTGTCGTTACGAACTTTTGCAGATAACCCCTTGTGCTCGTATACACGCGCAGTTAATTTTCACGGAAAAACTAACGGACGCTATCCATATCAACCACAAGAGGGTTATGTGCTGATATGAGGGGTTTATCAGCAAAAGCTTGTAACCACAGGGGTTTAAGTGCTATTTACCCTTGTTAAATTTTTGAAATTTTTGCATGTACTGGATCTTTTGTGTTTGTTTTTTATTCAGTTGGATAGTCAGGAGATCATGTATATTTTGTCTGCAATAACTGATTTATCGTTGATTGTATAATTGGACTTGTAACAATTGAATGTTGCCAGCAAAATCACAAACACACACATATATACATACAGACAAATAAAAAATATGCCTTACATTCTTGTCAAGAAGTTTCAGTAACTCCAAGTGTAGTAATGTTCTTGAAATGATGTGGTTGGTTTCTTTTAAATTTCAAGATTTAACAAAGCAGAAGAACTTCCATTTTCAAAGCCCTGAAAATCGAGGTATCCCATTGAGATTCATGGAAATTGCCAGTAAAATAATCGAAAAAATGGGATTAATTTGAATTGATGATCGAAACATGCAATCAATTATCGAATCAACATAATCCAAGAAAATTAAAGTACTAATTCATGTTGCTCCAACACTTGGCCCGGAAACTAGGAAAACATTGCATTGACTTGAAAATTGTTTACTGTGGACCTTTCTCCACCTGATTGTGCCACCTCTTCCCAGAAGCTATCTTTCTACTTGTTCCTTTCTCACGAACTCAACTCGAATTCGAAGTCCCTCATTCCCAACATTCTCTTGTTCCTCCACGATTTTCAAAGCCGAAATGGCTGCCGATTCGCTGCAGCAATTGACATGAACAAATCCAAGCGTTGGTATTTCTCCGATATCTAAAGGGATCTCCTCCAATTTCTCCATTCCTTTAAGAACAAGTTTCTCCAAAACCGGAAAATTTGAGCTGTCCGCATTCCAATAAACCAGATCACTATAGTGTATTAAGAGGAATTTCAGGCGAAGAAATTCCCCCTCAATAGGATTCCACACGGCTCCTCTAACCGAATCATATTTCAGTTTCAAAACTTCAAGATTCTGTAACGAACCAATCAATGTTAAATCTTCCCAATTAACTCTGCAAAATATTAAAGACAACTTCTTGATCGAACTCGGAAATGTCAGTTTCTGCAACAAATTATTCGATATCGAATACGAGCACGTAAGTGATTCGAGTTTACACAACAGAGAAAGATTGTGGAGACAGTAGTGAATTGTGGGTCCCTCGATATGGAACATTATGTTCAATTTCTTGACATTCGGGATTCTCTTACAAACCTCCTCGCTCCAGGTGAAGTTCATTACAGTCTTGAGCGTCTGTAGATTTCGCAAAATGGGCCCACTTGACGGAGGATCGGGAAGGTATAGCCGATAGATATCCATGTGCCTAAGTTGTCGCATCTCCCAAATTTCAGATGGTGCGAAAATATTCCCTTCGATAATTAGTGTTTGCATATTCCAAAGTAGAGAAATCGATGAAGGAAGTTCACCGTAAATATTTAATTGTGTATTGTAGCCGAGATACCGCAGGTTAACTTGATCGAAAATACATTTCGACAAATATATTTTCTTGGATAAGGAGTTGTCGTAGACATTAAGCACCCTTAACAATCTATTGTTAGACGGCAATGGACCCATATCTTTTCGTATTACCAACGTACGGGCCGATTGCAAACTAGATAAGCTTCGAGAGTGATACTCCTCTTCCATAATTCTTTCATTAAATACAATGCGACGCTCCCTTTCTATGTCTCGCGGAGTAGTGTCTTTCATCACACGGATAAACTTGTCTTTCTGAGCTACCTTTAGACACAAGTCTCGCAAAAGATCGTGGATCTTACAAAGTCTAATTCTCCCGTTAGATCCCAATTTATATTCCGAAACGAGATTCCTGTCAATGAGATCGTTCAAGTAACCTCGTGCCACTTCTTCCAAGTCTTGGAATTTATTTAGTTTTATAAATCCTTCTACTACCCAAAGTTTGATTAGTCGTGAGACACGAATCTCGTGGTCTTCTGGAAAAATTCCCATATAAAGAAAACATGGTTTTAGATGGGCGGGCAAATGGGTGTAACTCAAAGATAGTATATTCAAGCAATCTTCGTCCTTTCCCGAATTCAACATTGAGATTAATTTTTTTCCAACACTTTCCCAATATTCTCGCGTTCTGTTGGATCTTCCGAGAAGTCCACCGATCACAACAATCGAAAGGGGAAGTCCTTTGCATTTTCTAACAATCTCCTTTCCGATATCCTCTAGTTCAAGAGGGCAAACTTCTCAACCAAATGCCTTTTCACAAAATAGTTTCCAACTTTTATCCTCATCTAGAAAACTCAACTCAAAGCATGGAGAGTCGAAGTAAATAGCCACATTTGATATCCTTGTAGTCACAACAATTCGACTTCCATTGTTGTTGTCTGGAAAGAAACGACTTACTTCCTCCCAAGCTTCGACACTCCAAATATCATCAATGACAATCAAATATCTCCGACCCCATAGTATTTTGTGTAACTTTTGTCCTAATAGTTGCTCATTAGTTTCACTATCCATCTCACTAATTAGAGTTGAAAGAAGTTGAACAAAAAGTTCTCTCACATTGTATTCTTGAGATATAGTAACCCAAGTACGAATATCGAAACGGTGGACAATAAGTGAATGCTCGTAAGCATTTTTGGCGAGAGTAGTCTTACCAATGCCGCCCATGCCTACAATTGGAATGACTTGCCGGTCACATCGTTGACCGGTGAGCTTGTCCAAAAGTCGAAGCAACTGCTCGTCAAATCCGACCATAGTATTCTTCTCCGGTGTCGAACACGTGGGCTGCGTATAATGATCGTCTTTCAATCCAACTTCCTCTTTGAACTCCATAACCTTATCCTTGATCGAATCAATTTCTTCGAATACCGTTTGGAGATCGAGCAATGAAATCGAACCGGAGTGGATTTGGTCGACTACATGAGATTCGATTACGTCTTCAGCGGCATGAAATGCAGACGCAGTTTGGATCTCCAAAAGTTCTGCTTCTTTGCTTATAACTCCATGCATGAGAGTAATCGGTCTGCATGAAATGTAGGAAGAATCCAATCTTGTGGCTGACAGATTCGATCTGGTTATTGTGGAAAGAAATCGAAAAGAGAGGATGATTTTGGATCTGTTCGATGAGAGTGCAGCTGCATAAGCTGCCATTACTTAATTTTGGTACTCCCACTAAAAGATGGAGTAGAAGACTGAGTGTGAGTCAGGGGATAAGAGTTAATATTACTAGGACAAAATGCATTTCGCCCCTAGAAAATTTTAATTTTTGCACTGTACTCCCTATAAATTAATAAGGGTAAATTCCACTTTACCCCCTCGTACTCTGCCTGAGAGTCACTTTACCCCCTCGTACTCTCAATTTTATCGATTACCCCCTGTACTTGTACAATTTCCCAAATACAGCCTTTCCTTCAATTTTTGTCAATTTTGACTCTAACGCCATTTGATCAACTCTGTAAATTACAAAATGCCACTGTTTATAACGCGTCGTTTTTTCTCCGTCAATATTGTCATTTCTTCTTCTCCCACCACTTCCCCTTCCAAGATATCCCAAAATTGAACCCCTAACTTAGTAAAAATCAAGACCCAAAAATTGATCGATTCCACCCAGTGCAAAGAAAAAAATATATGAATGTGTGAAACTTTCTCTTTTCTAATCTCGAGAGTCAAAATCGAAAAAACTCAATATTTACGTCAATATTTTGACTCTTGACCAAATGGCGTCAGAGTTAAAATCGAAAAAAGTTGACGAAAAGGGTTGTATTGGAAAATTGTACAAGTACAAGGGGGTAAATCGACGAAATTAAGAGTACGAGGGGGTAAAGTGGTTCTTGAGCAGAGTACAAGGGGGTAAAGTGGAATTTACCCAATTAATAAAATAGACTCTCCCCCTTCAAAATTTTGTTGTAGTTGTACTTTGCCCTAAATCACAATTTCCGGCATATTTTTCATCGGGATTCCATTTATCCGTCTATGTCAAGGTCATTTGAGTCATTTTATTATCCCATCCAAATCTTAATATCCTTATTTACAACTCATTTCACTAATTTCAAAAAAACAAATCAGGGTTGTTTTGTATCCCAAAATGAATTGTTCCTTCTGAGGTCTCAAAATTGTGAGAATTCTCAATTTCTTCCTCAGTTAGCAGCTGTTACTGTGATTCGTCCCTCAAATGACACAAATGCCCTTCAATTGGACAAATTCATGTCAATTCCGATGAAAAAATACGTCGAAAATTGTAATTTTAGGGCAGAGTGCAACTGCAATAAAATTTTAAAAGGGAAGAATCTATTTTTTTCAATTTGTAAGTGGAAAAGTGCAAAGTTTGAAAATTTCTAGAGGACGAAGTGCATTTTGTCCTTATTACTACAACTGATTGGAGCATTATTTTCTTTCCAAATTCTAAAAATTTTTATTTTCGATTTTTTTTTTGGCTCAAAGTTGGAATTTATATGAGATTTTAATTTAAATATGCAAAAATAATTCCCAAAGTTCCGATTTTTTTTCTTTTCCAAAAGTGACATTTTGATATAAATATTATTATGTGTTTACATTTTAGGTGCCTAAAATTTGAAAATTTTCGAATTCGGCCGATTTCAATTTGGAAAGTTTCCAATTATGGAACAAGTTTTTCATTTCAATTTCCAATTTCGGATTTGTTCGAACGGAATTGTAATTAGTTTTTCACTTCAGAAATAAATTCTCAAATGTGCGCCCTTAATCCCCCTCCTTAAATCCTCATACTTCCATACAAAATCTTTTTTCTCATCTACCCCATTCATTTGATTTCGCCCGTAAGAGGAAAAAATACAGAATCCATCCCTCAAGTTGGCACCAATTTCACATTTGGTTCATCATGTTCAAGAAAACACATGTAGTCCCTCAAGTTTAAAAAGTTCAACACTTTTAGTCATTTCCGTCAATTTTTCGTTAGCACTAATAGAATCAAGCGTGTGCAAGTGACTTCCTTAATAGACGAACATCGAACTAACGGTGAATCGACGGAAATGACCAAAAGTGTTGAATTATTAAAACATGAGGGAGCATATGTGTTTATTGTTAACATAGGGAACCAAATGTGAAATCGGTGCAAACTTGAGGGGTGAAATATGTAATTTTCCGCCCATAATATCAGTTAGTAGCAACTAACTAATTCTGGTGAATTCCAAATGCTGCCACAAAAATCACAAATACTGAAATACATATATACATACATACGCAAAGAACTAATAATCACTGTTAACTTTACACAAGTTTCAATCATATATTTACATAATAAAAGACAATAATAAAAATGGGGAAAATTACAGTCCCTTAAATTTGCACTGATTTCACATTTGGTCCCATATGTTCACAAAAAAAATATTTAGCCCTTTATATTTAAAAAAATCAACACTTTTGGTCCTTTCAAGTTTCAACCAATTTTTCGTTAGTACCTAACTGAATCAAGCATGTACTCATCACTATCTCACCTGACGAACTAGCGATAAATCGACGGAAATAACCAAAAGTATTAAATTGTTGAAACATAAAAGACCAAATGTATTTTTTTATGAACATGGGGCCAAATGTGAAATTTGTGCAAACTTAAGGGATGCAAACTGCAAGTTTCCCAATAATAAAATGTCTAGATTTTCTACAAATTTTGTTTTCCTTCACAACTTTCAACTATTACTTCCTATCAAGAATTATAATCAACTCCAAGTGTAGTAATATTCTTGAAATGGTTTCTTTTCTATTTCAAGATTTGAAAGAGCAGAAGAACTTTCACTTTGATGGGAACACACACTCACCATTTCTCTCTCTTGATTCATCTTCTCCCCATAACTCGTCATCAAAGCCCGGAAAATCGAGGGATCCTGGAACCTGAAATCCATTCCTGGAAACTGTCCCCTGGAAAATGCGTCGCCTGGAAAATAGTCTACCGGATTCGAAGCGAACGGAAAAACAGGGTTGCTACTCAAACTCCCCTGGAATTTTACAGGATCGACAATGGAACTGGAGAAGCAGGGCACGTTGCCTGGAAAACGATCCGTAAATTGTGTAGTTGTTGAAGTAACCATTTCGTTTCCCGAAGTATCCATTCTTGTTAGCCCCGAAATATGTACTTTTTTACCCCCACAAGTCTTGTGAAATACCCTGCTTATCACCCAGTCATTCTGCACGAGAAAAATTAATTAGGCCCTCGTTTCAATTCCAAGATCATAAAATTAAATTGATCCAGTAAATTAGAATAAGTGCTCATTTTTCGCATAGTTCCAGGTCGGCCCGAAAAGTCGTTGGACTAAATTATTTAATTAATCATATAGATTATTTTAACCTTTGATGAATTTGTGACTTTTTGGAGAGAGAATTTGCCTTCCAATCTGTACTCATGGTTGACCCAATTGGATTTTTCACCTTTTGGAGCTCTACCTTTGTAGAAAACTAGGGTTTTCTTCATCCCGACGATGTTTTTTCCCCGGAAAATCGCTCTGTCTTTTCCGGTTGCTTTCCAATACCCTGCGGCCGTCGCCCTGTTTGTTCGCAGCCCGTTCGGGTATTTCTTGTCCCTAACGCAGAAAAAGTACCACTCTTTTTCCCCTTGTTTTGCTTTCCCTTCATCATTAAACACAAAAAAAAAAAAAAAAAAAAAAAGATAATGAAAAAATTGGATCTTGAAAGTGAAGAAATTAAATATTTGAGCAAATTACTTACAAGGCAATTCCCATGGCTCAACTTTGTTCATGTCAACATCTCCAATGGGTACAGAAGAGAAATTACAATCAAGAACCTTCTTCAATAAATAATGAGTTATCAGTTCTTCGTCGGTCGGGTGGAATCGGAATCCCGGCGGAAGTGTGATATGTTCATCCATGAATTTCGAAACCAATCACTATTTTCTTTGATATAAAAAAAAAAAATTCTGAGTTTTCAAGAAAGTTGTGATCTTTGACTTTATGAACTATGAAATAAAAGTGTATGAATGGAAGTAGGAGAAAAACTAAATGAAGATGAGAAACAAAATGGGAACTATGAAGAAAAATTGGGAATGGTATTTGAAAAGGAAAAAATTGCATGTTTTGGGTAAAAGGCCAATAAATACTTGGTTTTTTTTGGGGGTGAAAGAAACGTGATACATAAGCTATTGTGGGAGTAGTTACTTGACCAAGTAAGTGCATATATCATTTTCATAAGGATTAGTTTTTGTTGTAAATTCACATTAAAGTCAACTTCTAGACTTGGAAGAAGTTGTAAGTCATTCCCTTATTGGAGTTGTTTGTATAGATGTAAACATCAAGTCTACATACAATATGTGGTAATGGATCAACCATCAAATAATCTAACCATAGTTACCGACTGGAAATAATTGTTTTTTTTCCGCCAGAAACTTAGGACCCGTTTGGCTAAACTTATTTTAAACAGCTGATAAGTTGTTTTGCGAGCTGGTAAGCTGTTACGTCTTATTTTTAGAATTAATTTTTGAAATGTTTGGATAATGATGTTAAAGCTAGTTTTACACGCTATTTAAATAAAAATGTGGGGTAGATGTATTTTTTTAAAAGATCTTATTTACACTCGAGCAGCTTATGTTTTGAATTGTACAAAATTATCAAACGCTTTGGAATAGCTTATAAGCTCTTAAACTTCTTATAAGATATTTTTAACATCTTATAAGCTTAATCAAACAACCTCTTGGCTAAGCTTATTTTAAACAGCTGATAAGCTCTTATGTCTGATAAGATGTTTTTAGAGCTGATAAACTGTTACATCTTATTTTTATGATTAATTTTTAGAGTGTTTGGATAATGAGCTTATTTCCTATTTTTACTCATTATAAGATCTTAAATAAAAATGTGGGGTGAACGGTAGTTATTTAAAAAGATCTTATTTGGTCTCCAACAGCTTATTTAAAAAAAAATTAAGATCCTTTTTTTTTAATTTACCAAACACTTTGGAAGAACTTATAAGCTCTAAAACATCTTATAAGTTCATTTTAACATCTTATAAGCTTAGCCAAACACCCGTTGAACACTTTCGGTCCGTCATATTCACTAGATGACTAAAAGATAACACCATAAACTTCGTATTTAGAAACATATTTAGTTGACGCTATTTAAGAATTGTTAGCAACTAACTTCAAATTCATTTGAATTGCACGTGACAGCATTTTGGATGAAATTAGGGCAAAAATACTCATCCTCCCCCATATACTACGCCGTTTTGTAATATATTTGGCTCAATATTTTTATTTTCTCTATTGTCAGTTTCTTCAAAAAGCTACGCTATTGATTCTTCTATTGGACCTTCAATATACTTCAACATGTGAAGTTTAGAGTTTATTTTGCCATCCTCAAGGACTAAAAATATTGTAAATCGGTCATGTTTGGTAAGCTTTTGGGCTTCTATTTCCATTATATTTTGGAGAAGATGTTTTGGGAGAAGAATTTTAAAATAAAATAAAGTTTGTTTGTGTATTTAGTAGAGAAGTCAAATCATGTCTAAAATGTGTTGGAAAAATGTATTTTGAAAGAAGAATTTGAAGCATAAAGTGATTTTAGTTTGTATTTTAGTGAAGACAATTTTCACTGTAACAGTCAAATCATGTTTATTAGAGAGAGAAACATTTAAATTTTTTATTTGAAAAGTTTTTGAAAACATTTCAGGAAGATAATTTTATTTTGGGGAAATAATGAAAATAATTTGAAAACCTAAACAATCATAGCTTACTTGCGACTAAGTTTAAGTACGAAAAAATTAATTCCTCTCTTATTAATGCATGAATTGTAAGTGTGATTGTACCTATTTTTTGTAAATCACACTTGATAATTATGAAACTGATGCGGGATCACTCGAGATAGTTAATTCAAAGGTCAAACTGGATAATTGTTTAGGAATACGGGTTCGAATGCCACGGATTTTGCGTTGATCTAAGTGTAGGATCCTTGTTCGTCTTTTCTGCAAAACTATGTAACACACTTTGTAACACTCCAACACTTAAGTCAGATAATGTCGCGTATTGATAAATATTCAATACTAAAAAACGATTAAGTCAATAAAGGATCATGCACCTTAAAATGTTAATTATGCTGAAGATTAAATAGATGAAAGCTCACGAAATCCTCTTACTATTAAATCAATGTGGGATGGAATAAAAAAAAACTATTTAATTAATGAATAAGCTACATAAGAAACCATATTGCATTGTAGATGCTACACGTCACAGAAGACAATTGGCATATATTATCGTCACAATCCATTGCTAATAGTGAGTAGAATGTCTCGCAAGGGATGACCTAGTGTGGTTGGAGCATGTGTCAATTGACTCGGGCTCGAATTCCTTTGTCAACGGTCGTTAGGTGGAGTTTGTCACACATGGTTAGCCTAGTGTAGTTCACGTCTCTCGTATGATTTGCAAGCTATTATACGAAAGTGCATGTTTATCCAGTGAACCTATATGGTTGATTGCAGGTTCCTTCGTTACCAAAAAAAATAAAAAATAATAGTGAGTAGAATCAATATATACATTGCTCATAGTGAGTTGAACTAATATATATTCATTGCTAGCAAGGTCAAATCTATTGATGCAAATTATTTAACTCGTCGGACGAGAACTAGATGTCAACTCATTTTTGTTCAAAAAGTTGGTTACGGGAATATATAGTTGAATTGGTTAAACTAACTTTCATTTAATTTTATTGTAAATATTGAAGATATTAATATTAAATAATATATTTTAACAACAACTTAAACTTTTGGATAACATGGTCGTTTAACATGGTATCAGAGTCAGGTCAAATGAAAATGACGATACATTTTACTAACTTGTGAGAGTTTGGTTCCGACGAAAATTACGTGATGTTCGAGTAATCTCTACTCTAATTACCCGAATATTCTGAACGTGGTCTATGATTGTTTCATAAAACCAAACATTTGTACTTCAGATATTTCCCAAAGAAAAAAAAAACATTTGTGATTAAACTTCGGACACGTGTTAGATTTTGCTACGTTAATCAAGTAATTGAATATAATTTCTGGCCAATTAAATACAGTTAATTCTAAGTAGTCAATGTTATTATTTTTCTATTTCTATTTGTTTATGGAGAACTAAGTAGTAGTTATCTTATCTACCAAACAAAATTCAGAACCAAAAGAAGTATAATCACTTGTCAAATGCTTATCCATTCATAAATACAAAAGTAAACCATGGTTACAGTTAATTAACCCAAGCGTTTACCAACTAATTGTGGATTAACCAATATAATAAATAGTAGGGTGGACACGTGGCACCAACAAATGACTATAGTATTCTGAAAAGGATGATTAAGATTAGAATAGTACTCCTTCGTTTCTTTTTAATTGACGTCTTACTAAGAAATAATATTTTATATTATGTGTCGTTTTATAATTTTAATGAAGAATATATTTATGTTGTCCAGTTTTATTCTAATACTAGTGGTACATTATTGAGGTGATAAAGAAAAAATAAATAATTATTAAAGAGTTAAATAAATGTCATTGAGAAAAAGACTATTTCATAGATTTTTTTTTTAATTTGTGTACATTTAAAAATAATAATGCACTTGAGAAAAAGACAATTAATATTGTAAGCAAAATATTATTAATTAATTACTGCTAAATATAGGGATGTTAATGAAAATTTCATATTTAATACAAAAATTTTAATTATTTTCTTCCTAGAATAATACAAATAATCCAAACATCTTAGTAGATAAAAAAAAAAAAAAAATTAAATAACCAAACATTGCCTAATTTGTGGGCTAATGGGCTTTGAAATAAGAAGCCTTTAAAGCCATTTTGTACCAAGCCCAGATCAAAATTCGTAAAATATGGTCCACGAAAATAAGAAATAAAAATAAATAAAAAAATGGCCCATGCAGGTCTCGAACCTGCGACCTTCGCGTTATTAGCACGACGCTCTAACCAACTGAGCTAATGGGCCTTGTGATATATACATTTACATAAACTATAAATCGACCGTTCCTTACTATTTTGTAGCTTTACTGATTTAAATTCTACATTTAAAACCTGATTATAATTTCTCTGTTCTGAATTTATATAAATCCTATGAAATATATTAAGAACTAACTTTTTAATACATAGATACATTTATGACAAATCAATGTAAATTTCATTTAAAAAAAAAATGATTCAATTACTAAGCTTCAAGGACAATACAGTCAATTGCACATTAAAAAAAAAAAAAAAAAGATCCCATATCCAATAAAACACAATTTTGTGTGTACAAATTCAAGGGTGGATACAAATGGTTGTCTTATCCATTTCCCTCTTACAACCAAACAAAAAATAAAATAAATAAAATAAAAAATAATTGCAAGAATCATGTTAATTAAAATAACAGCATTTGAACATTCATCTTTCCAACAATGGCTGAAACTATAACCACCTTCACACTTCTCAAGCCTTGCAGTATCAAATATAATTCTCCACGAGCAACAAAAGCCGAATTCGGTTCTTTTTCAAGATCAGTAAGCATGTATAAATAATTAAATAAATAAATAAATATATATTCAGATTATTTGATTTGATGATTTAACAAGTTTTTTTTTTTTTTTTTTTTTTTTTGTGTGTATGAATTCTTGATTTCAGCTGAGGCAAAATTCATGCTCAAGATTTAACAATGGCAGGCATCAGGTAAATGAACCAGTTTTAATTAATTTGATGATTCTTTTCATACTTATTATTACACTGTATACTAGGACAGATAGTTTTATTACATTTCTCAACTGTTAAAGAATTGGTTAAAAAAAAATAAATTATGGGCTCCAATTATAGTGAGATACCTCGTCGGGTATCTTCGACAAGGCTTCGTTTTTCGACGATATAATCAAGGTTTGTCGAATATTTGGCGTTTAGGTTTCAAACTCATGATAATTATAAGACTCGGAGTTTAATAAGGCATATGTGAGATACATATTTAGTCCAAACTCAAATACAATGATTGTTTCGGAGTATATTACATTATATTCCGTAACGAGGTATAATTTATATAAGGAAATAAATGAAATTAAAATATTTGTGCGAGAGTCGGGAAATCTTGGTTCCGCCCCTCGGCTCCATTTGTCTTAATACTTGAAATAGTGTACTTTTAGAGCGTGTGTTTTAAATTACTTCTTGGTATATAGCCAAAGATAATTAAAGTATATGATCAATTCATCCATTCATTCATTCATTCAAATCCCTTCAGATATACTTAACCATTCTTTCTTTTTTTTAATATATATACTTACCATTCTTGATTCATCCTAGCTTAAGTTTATTTTTAGGTAACTTTTAGTAAATATTTACTTATGTTTTTTTTTTTATACTTATTATGAATACCTCTAAAAACAATATGGCGCATTATTTCGAAAAACAAAAGTCGTCCCCTTATAAAATGCATGGGTCCGCCTCCGTTCATGCCGCGTTGATTTCTTATAATTAATAGATTGAAGATCGGAAAAATCGAAGGGCGTCGGGAGTAAGAGTCGAGGCGCTACCGGATTTGCAGTTGATGGCAGTTATGATTGAACACTTGGATGGACAAAGAGATATCATAACCCACAAGTCAATTTGGCACCTTAGTGATCAAGCTATGAAGAATGTTTGTGAGTCAATCTTGATTTTTGTATATTAATTTTCTATACAGTAGAACCTCGATAAATTAATACTCAATAAATTAACAACCTCACTTAAATAATAATTTCTTTCAGTCCCGAGTTGGTAAAAAAATATTAAATTATTAACTCGATAATTTAGTATTTCGCTAAATTAATAGATTTTTCCTAATCCCGACTGTACTAATTTATAAATATTTAACTGTACTACACCCGGTGAATGTAACATCGGGTTACCGTTGATCTGCACACCAATATGAGTATGCAGTGGCGGAACATAAGAAATTAAGAGGGACAGCGAGGGTTGTGGACCGCCAAGATTTAAAAAAAAATTAGTAATTTTGAGTAATATTTTTAAAATATAGGTTTTGGCCCCCAATCTTTTGTAAATATGAGTTTTGACCCTCCAGTTTTTTAATTTTGCTCTTTTCTTTCAAGTAAATTTATATAATTTTTCATATTTATCATTACAATATAAAATGTTATTTTTAAAATCATACCATTTACATAAAATATGACTTATTTTTGCTTCCTTTGTAATAAATTACTCTAAAAAAATTCCGGGGCAATGTCATTTGTGTTTGTGTGCTTATGAAATGGTACAGATCTACCCGGTGTATTAACCCATCGATCAATATGTAAATATTTGTGACAATATTTTTGTTTTCCTTAATAGACACATTTTACGTAATGTTCACCTGTTGGGGATGCTGTTTCTTTGGCTCCACAAAGGTAATATACATATTATATTTTATATATGTGGGAATTTATTTATTTTTTTCTTTGATTTCATTAGTAATATTTTGGTGTTTTATGGAATTATTAGGATCCATTCTATGATTCAGAAACATACAGAAAAGATGGAGGAGATGGCACTGGGCATTGGATATATGAGAAGGTATATAGTGAAATGTTTTTTTTAAGCTTATATGTTGAAATTTTCTATTTTTTATTTTAGTAATAAATATTTAAGATGGTAAAATAAGATCATTGAACTTATCAGCTATTAATAATAAAAATAAATACGATAAAATTAATGTAGCTCCTTTTTTCTAGAAAAAGTAAATAAAATAACTTCTAACATATATATAGGGTAAATTACGACAACCCTGTGAGATATAGTCAAATTACGAAAAAACTCTTATGTTTGGGTAATTACAACCGACCATCAACTATAAATCTTCTTAAACGTCCATCTTTACGATGTCCATTCAACAGAATCTTCTTAAATTCCGTGGAATGTTCTCTAGTTTATATTCGTTTTGTGCAAAGATGCATTTTGATGCACCACAATCTAATATGTACAAGTCAATAGACGCACGCATCTTATGATCATCTTGTTTCAAAATGTGGAGCTCGAATGGGGTAAAACGGGTACAAACTGGAGAATATTCCACGTTATTTAGAAGACTCCACTAAATTTAAAACCGCAAGGGTGAGTGAACATGTAAGAAGTTTCATAGTAGAGGGGTGGTTGTAATTACCCAAACATAAGGGATTTTTTTGTAATTTAACCTTACCTCAGGAGTTGTTGTAATTAAATGGAAAATAATTACAGCAAGAAGACATAGAGGAATCAGCAAGAGCAGAGCTGTGGAGAGAGGAGCTGATTGAAGAGATTGAACAAAAGGTTGGGAGCCTAAGAGAGTTGGAAGAAGCTGCAGGCAAGAAGGAAGATCAGTTTGTTAGCTGATTTTTTATTATTTTCTTTTTATTTTTAATTTCATCTTTTTTTACTATATAACTTTGTTTATAAAATATAATATTGTTACACGTTCAAATTTGTAAAATCCATCTCGATCGATTGGAAATTATTTCAATGACAATAACAAGCAGGGGCGGATCCGGGATATTTTAATTTGTAAGGGGGCGATTTTTGTGATTTTTTTCGAAATAAAACATGTAAAGTGAATAGAAACGAAAAAAACAAAAAAAAAGTGGCGGGCAAAACACATGTTTATACAATATTATTATACAGAAAAAACATATGCTTAAAAGTAGCTAATACTACATCCTTCTCATAGTATGAAGGTGTTTGGCTAGCCTTATTTTAAACATCTGATAAATTATTACATATGATAAGTGGCTTTACGAGCTGATAATCGGTTAAGTCTTGTTAATTTATTTTTTGAACATTTTAGAAAATGAGCTTATAAGTAATTTTTATTGATTTTTTATAAGATCTTAAATAAAAAGGTGGAGTATAGGTATTTTTTTAGAAAGATTTTATAAGCTCTCTAACAACTTACTATTTGAATTTTAAAAATTTTAAAAAAAATTCACCTTATACTTGAACAGTTTATAAGTTCTTAAGCATCTTATAAGCTCAATTTATAAGCAACTTTCCAACTCCACATTCCAACTTCTTGTTTGTAGCTTATAAGCTCTTAAGCATATTAATTATGCTAAGTAGAAAATAACTTAAAAGTTATTTCTTTGACTTATTATACTAACACATTTGGCATTTGTTGAACCTGACAAAGTGAAATAATTATTTCATCACAGTTCAAAATAAAACTATATTATTTTTTTGTTATCAATAAATTATTTACTCTTGTATTCTATATCTATTTAACGTACACGTTTAATTAGTACACCATACTTTGATTCAAAATAAGAAATATTTTAATATTTGGGAATTTTGACTTCAAAAGACAAATAACTGCTTACAAAAAATGTCATGTGCAATGCACATGTTATGAAATCCGGCCAGCATTGCCTGAAAATAGGTTAGATATCACAATGTGCCGCAAAAAATCGACTTAGGGTGGGCATCGTGCAAGTGTTTTTTTGGTTCATGTGACAAAATGCAAAACAGACGAAAGTTCACGAGGCAAAATGCTATTCACCCAAAATAAAATATGCAAAAATTCGTTATTTTTTCAAAAGTATTCATAAAATCAAATGGGGAGAGTATATATGATATGACCCTCTTCATACTTCATCCAAACAAGAACTAAAAAGTCTTAACCACAAAACAAGATTTTCCAATATACCCCACAAGAAAAAAATTAAAAATTATTGTTCAAAAAAAAAATCAATAAATGTACCTTCTAGAAACACCAATGAATTTCACCTAAAAA